AAAAAGTTCATTGGGCTGATTGGAGATGACTTCATTTGAAGTGATTCCCTGTGTAAAAACACTTAATTCCGGGCCAAGCTTTGACGAATGAAACTAGCCCTTGACTGCACCGTTTGCGGACTCTATTGAGGGTGACAATTCTCATCCAGCTGATTTCCTTCTCCTCAATGGCAAACCGAAGGGGCGTCGCAGGACTCACCCTTACCCATGTCAAATCATTCTCTGCAACACAGAGCCAGAATTAATGTTAAATGGCCCTCCTCAAAAGACAGGCATCCCAGGTGTGTGCGACACGCTTATAAATCCTGTGGCCACCGAATTCACTTTGCTGGCAGAAAAACGTGTAGGTGGCCAATGGCTGATTATTGAGCAGCCTATATTAACCCCTCCGTCTATCAGCCCTTCACTTCTAGAGACCCAACTGCTAATTCCCGAATAGATCGACAGTAATTTGTTAATAGTGACTGATAGGAAGACAGCAGGAAAAGCAATCCTCTCAGTGATAGATCTGGGTTTTTCCCACCCATCCTCCCCTCAAACTGTATACTTTGGCAATCTTTAGGAAAAGTGCTCCGCAGGGTTTGAAGGTCCCTTTTTGTTGAACACAATGGCTCTTGATCCAACCACTGCAATCACCCCCCTCTCCTCTAAACTGCCTTTTGCTCAGTTTGATTTCCGGTTGTCTGGTTCTCACTCACGCACCCGCTGCCTGAAAGAAAATGCTGAGCTGGAGCTTGGCTATTCACCTCCATAAATCAACTTTGGCACACAGTTTATTACCAGCATGGCTGATGTTGTTGTTGATGATGATGTTGTTGTTGCAATCAATAGCAAAGCATGTGCGACTAGGTTGAATTCTGGGAAATCATTGACGTGAGTCGCATGCAACTTCCATCATACAATATGCGACTCGGCAACAGATTGGCCAATAGAAAACCAAGTGGGAATGCTTGTGAACTGCATTTTACATTCGGCTTTAAATTGCCAAGGTGCATATGCCACCGCTAGATAGCCAACGTGTGTTCAAAGGCGCTATCAGAGTAAATACATCACCGCACGTCAGTGCAGCTAAACAAACGCCCCTCTCGATGAAATACTGCGAAACAAATTGGAAGCGCTTGACTGCAGATTTCATTATTAAGTCTGGTAATAAGTTCAGTACTCTAAGGACTGAATAACCCACATATACTGTGATTCACTTCCATCATGCAATTTCCCTGTGTAATTTTACTATAAAAACCATGTACAATCTCAGCAGGACCCTTCCAAGGCAGCTTATAATGTACAAAAACACAACACAACTGGTCACTTATTGCTTTCCGTTACAAAAAATCTCATCTTTTTTCCTGTAAAAGATTACCATTTCAAGCAAAATGACAGTGTGATATTACCTGTGTGTCTCTCTCTTCCCACAATGGGAGCCCGGAGATTCGGTGACAGTCGGAATGGGGGAGTTGGCCACTAATGTATCCACACAGCAGGATATTGGAACAACAAGGCAAATGGCTCTCCTGTGAGGAACCGAAGTCCATTGCACACATTTTCTTGGTTTATTCCTAACAGGTGCACACACACGCATCGGTGCTGTGTGTTGTTCGTCTTAATGCTGAGGCGGTGATTGTTATGCCCTGGAGATTATTTTATGAACAGGGCCCTCCCTAAAGCGGTTTGAACAGCCGAGAGCACGGGGAAGACATGCATCTCTGCACTTCATACTGCCATAAATCCTGTTCCTGTTGAGGGGGAAGCAATTTGGTAGGCAGAGTGATATGAGCCATGACAGGACCGGGTCTAGGGCCTCAGAGCCATGACAAAGGCCTCGTGGCCCCGAGTAATGCCAGTCAGCTTGTTTTCTGTCAGCACACAAAGTAATGAAGGAAGGCAGAGGCTCTGGACTGAGACTCCTTCCAATCCACAGACCCAAGAGGGTCAAGGCACCGCTTCACTGAAATGAAACAATTTTCTACCCAGCAATCACTTCTGAATTATTCCACTTTCCCTTTTATACTAATGGACTGAGACTGCCAATAAATGTTTGTTTTTATACTGCAATCATTTTAATGGGTCATAAATGGTAAAATGCTCTCGCAATATGGACGACCCTTGCTCTGAGGACCTTAATGTTTAATGCAGTCCTAAAGCAAATACGCAATCATATCTCCATTCAAACGCAGCTTGTGTTTAGCAGTGATCCGTAACGGTGAAAACCAGCCACACTTCCATTTGGAGGCCATTTTATGGTGGCTTTGGTGATGGAAGACACTAAATGGACTCTGGATATTGAGGGGAGGTGTAGAGGAAAAGTCAACCATTAGTGTGTAGAACTTCAAATGGCATCCCTGGTGAGAGATTGAGCTGCCGACGTCCTCTTCATCACAGTACGCTTCCATCATTCGGCGCGCGTTAATTGTTCCACGCCTCAGTTCGTTAAATGAGCATTCCGGCTAAATGACTCCTGAATAGTTTATCATGATGGAGGGTATGAATATTGCATGGCTGCTTTCTGCTTTTTTTGGTCTTATTAGCATAATGATTCTTTGCGTTGCGCTGTGGTCCCTTCTGACAGAGGATCATAGCTAGTCGACAGAGAGGAAGGTGGCCTTTGGTGGGTTTATTGGAGGGTTTAATTGCTTTTATGAGCTTTGGCAGTGGCGGTTGACTCCCGCAAGGCCGCATCTCTGCTCTTAAAAATGCTCACAATGTTTTTATGGGGCGTCATAATACATGTAGCCAAAGAGTATGCATATATGCTACCATTGAGCAACCGCATCACTTTTGACTATTGTCATTTTCACACACAGCGGGAGTGGCCGATTACTCAGGGCACATTATTGAGCCGTAGCTGCCTTTGCCCCAGAGCTCCTGTTCTCTCATTTATTTAAATGAAATTCCATGATAATTTGGAGGTGATACACCTTTGAATATTTTCTAGTCACATGTGAATTCTCTCGTGCTGAAAGCACAAGCAGAAGAGCATAGGGAGAGTCATTAGTCTGTAATTTCTCAAACGACTGGATTCAGACACAGAACGTTACTACACGTCACAGGGTGCAAGTGCTACTCTGATTGCACTCTGTTGCAAGCTCTCCGTGTGCTCAAAGAGACGCGGAGGTCTCTAAACTTTTTTCTTATGTGATTCCTCTGCTTAAGTGATTGACATGAAAAATGCCTGGATTCTGATGTGTTGACTTGACATCAAAGCAGCAGGTTCAAACATATAAAGTGGGTTATGCTGTAACGACTGAATTTGAAACTCTGAAGTCTGACAAATTACCATCACACTATTCTGCGCAGGTAGCGGAACTGGTCGCATTGACCGAAATTCCATGATAATTTGGAGGTGATACACCTTTGAATATTTTCTAGTCACATGTGAATTCTCTCGTGCTGAAAGCACAAGCAGAAGAGCATAGGGAGAGTCATTAGTCTGTAATTTCTCAAACGACTGGATTCAGACACAGAACGTTACTACACGTCACAGGGTGCAAGTGCTACTCTGATTGCACTCTGTTGCAAGCTCTCCGTGTTTTTCTTATGTGATTCATCTGCTTAAGTGATTGACATGAAAAATGCCTGGATTCTGATGTGTTGACTTGACATCAAAGCAGCAGGTTCAAACATATCTTTAGCTTCAATGGATCGCAGCACCTCAAACGCCATGGTTGTGAATGTCTTTACACTGGAGATATGGAGGGACTCTTTATGAAAGTGATCCATGAAAGGATCGTGAAACACTGCTGAAATACAGCGAACCCAAATGTGGGAGTTAAAGGGGTCATATGATGCTTTTTTAAAGATCATTATTTTGTGTATTTGGTGTAACAGAATATGTTGACATGCTTTAATGTTCAAAAAACACATTATTTTTCAAATACTGTACATTATTGTAGGTCCTCTATGCCCCGCCTCTCTCAAACGCTTCGTTTTCTACAAAGTCCCTCCTTCCGACAAGCCAGTCTGCTCTGATTGGCCAGCTGACCCAGTGCATTGTGATTGGCCGAACACCGCAAGCACTCGTCTGAAATGTAACGCCCCTTACCATAATTGCGAGCTTCATCTTTCAAAATAAATGTAAAGACAGAGGCCGAAAGGGGAACAGAGTTGCGTGACAGACACCGTGATGAAGCTGGTATGGCTTTGTGATGTGACCCCCCCCCTCTCTCTCTCTCTCTCTCACACACACACACGATGTACAAAACTCCGCATTTTTTATGACATTTATTGATGAACTAGAAAATACTGAGAATACTAAAAGAATTGAAAAACACTGATAATGCTGGTTGCGTATGTTAAAAAAAAAAAAAATCAAATTCCATAAATTCACACGCACAAGTAAACAGCAATCTTTAATATCGGTTTCAATTTTTTTAAAATTTAATTTGTTTTTTACAAGATTAAATGTGTGTACAAAGTACATCCATACTCATCTCCCCCTCTCAAAGGATCATTTACAAATCCTTGATGCTTTAAAATGTTACATTACGTCGAAAATGTAGTGGGCATCTGAGATTCCAGTAACAACTTACAAGATCTGTACTCTAAAACCAGTTCCTGATATTTGTTAACATTTGAAACATTATTCACAGTTTATTAAAGCTTTTTTTTTGTCATCTTTTGCCACTTTAAAAAAAATTACTGTCACATAAATCTATGGTGCACGAAAATAAAATATATTTGTCCATATCGTATATAGCTTGTATGCATTTACAAACGGGCGTCATCTACATCTCTTTCCGTCCCAGTAGAGCCCTTGACTCGTAAAAAGAAACCTTTCTGCCACCGTGGCTGAGGGGCGAGGATCATATATAAATATTCTGACAGATCTTCTGGGCCACTCGGTGGAAAAGTGACTCAAACTTTCCTATTAATAAACAGTCCTTGCGGGCTGGCAGATCACAGTTCTGTCCTTTCTTTTAAGTGCTTCTCACATGAGCCGCAGCTTTAGGTCTGCTATCGTTTTACCCGTCTGGGTTCATTAGCCAGCCCTTGAAGTTCTGCAAAAAAATTACTGTCACATAAATCTATGGTGCACGAAAATAAAATATATTTGTCCATATCGTATATAGCTTGTATGCATGTATTTACAAACGGGCGTCATCTACATCTCTTTCCGTCCCAGTAGAGCCCTTGACTCGTAAAAAGAAACCTTTCTGCCACCGTGGCTGAGGGGCGAGGATCGTATATAAATATTCTGACAGATCTTCTGGGCCACTCGGTGGAAAAGTGACTCAAACTTTCCTATTAATAAACAGTCCTTGCGGGCTGGCAGACCACAGTTCTGTCCTTTCTTTTAAGTGCTTCTCACATGAGCCGCAGCTTTAGGTCTGCTATCGTTTTACCCGTCTGGGTTCATTAGCCAGCCCTTGAAGTTCTGTCAGGGATCTACCAGTAGTAACTGGACAGCGGAGCACGTGGTGGGGACGACTCTCTGGGCAGAAGTGTGACATGGCCGGTCAGCTTTAATTACTCTTTCAGTTGTTGGTCCCACGGCCAAGGAAGCTGGTTCCAAGCAGGCCTTCTCACCCGGAGAATTACTCCGAGTCCTGCAGAAGTGGTGTCACCTCCATTCCAGCCGCACCGGTGATGGCTGAGGCAAACAGGGCTCAGCAGTGCAGATGCAGTTGACCTTCAAGACATTTTTGACATGCTTTCACTTTCTTTGACACATTTTACTCTTCAACTGGAGATTCCTGAACGTCATTTGTCCACCACAATCATGAAGCAAGGTGCCCCATTAACAGACCAAACACTTGCGTTGAACTTCGACTCTAGCGCAATTTTACAATACCGTCAACCATCGTGTTTGAAATGATGTGCACACATGACATCTGTTGAAGTAGTCTCTGATCGCAACGGATGCTTGTGTCTTTGTCAGGACGTTTTCTGAACTCGTCTGATTAGTTGGGCTTTGGTTAAAGCCAACACATCTGTCTAGCCCTTGTATCTCATTCGTTTGGTTCCACGCGCCTTTATTTGCCTTTATTTGTTGATCCTCAGCAGATTACAGGAACCCCATCCGTGTTAAATATCATTCCCGTAGTGGGTTCATAAGTGCCGGCCAGGTAGTAGAGGTCTTCACTGTCTTGGTACTTCTTAGTTTTAACCATCTGCTCATATTGCTCAAGGCTGACCACCAGACATTTATGAGAAATGGTCTGGACGTCATTCTCATCAATGTGAGAGGACTGGTACAAGGCCCGCTGAAACGAGAAAGCAGAGAGATCTAGCGGTCTGTTTTCACCCAGATGAAGATGATCAAACCATTTACTGGATTGGTTTTCTTACCTCCATGAAGTCTTTTCTCTGGCTGGAAGCCTGCAGAACAGCAGGAAGACTTTGGCCAGACATTTGATCCCAGTTCTGCCAAACAAAATTTGATTAGTTACAAACCCAGATAAAGGCAAGACTGGGACAGATCAAGTACCATTCCAGTACTAACGTCATAATGCAATGCCCACAAACCATTATTCTTGTTTAGCAAAGGGAGACGAAAGTAACCTTTTTGTCATGAAGTTTCTTTCCAGGGTTGGTTTCCTCAGGATGATAGAACCATTTGACACGGACCACCATGTTGTTTCCCCAGGACTCCCACATGCTCTGGATGTGTCCAATGAAGGGGAGGTTGGGTCGTCCAGCAGACAGGAACACAGCACAGTCTCCAATACGGATCATTTCCTTCCCACGCATTATGGCTTTGTAGAAAAGCTTCTTTGCCTTCCCTTTCATTCCCCGCCTCTGTAAGAAGTTGAAGGAAAAGCAAAGGATGTTTCTTCGGGCACTTTTATGTCCCAGGGGATTGATTTTTATTCAAACTAACAGATTTTAACCTTTTTCCTCTTGTTATATGAAGGTCACATTAAAATTGTCTTGGAAACTTTTTACCAGGCCTTCATTTATATTTGCAACTTTTCAAAATAAAATTTAAAAATTTTTAATTTTTAGAGAATTTTTAAAAATTTAAATGAGAAGATGTTTAGTGTTTTTATTTTCTCACAGTTGTAGCATAATTTTTTATAGCACCAAACATTTATGACACTAAAAAATTCTAAAAGTAAGGTGTCAATGAGGAGCATGTTTGAGATAATATTTTCATAGTGTAAAATTTTTAATCAAGCTGTAATTTTGTCCATTGTGCAAAAAGTGTAGAAATATTATTCAATTACGTGTATTTACTATACATAAAATGCTAGATTTGAAATTAGTCAGCCATTTTTTTCCAAAAATACTAAATGTAATTTCCATTATTTTGTATATTTCCATTTCAATTAAGCCCAAAATATACTTTGTTTTGTTATGCGTACACTGGAGTATGTGTTCAGTGCTCAGTGTAAATTTCATCATCAACATAGTACTTGCATACTGTATGATGTGCACAAAGGGGACCAGATTTCAGAAATGAAAACAGGGGACATTTCCTAGTTCAGTGATCAAAATATCACTGAAATCTCACTTGTGATTATCTGCAAAATTAAAAAACGGGGGCAATATATTTGTGTATGTTTTTTAATTGTTTTGGTTTCCATATATTAATATCATAATTAGTCATTACAATGATGTTTCAGGATCAAACTTACCCTAGTTTATTAATAGGACTACAATTCTCCAAAAAAAATAAATAAATAAAAATCACATTATGAAAAATAGTAACTATTGCAAATAGTAAACGGATCAAAACAGGATAACAAAATTATGACTTTCCAAAAACACTAAAAATAAAAAAATAGAAATGAGAACATATGATAAATAAAACCGTATTTAACAAATATTTGTAACATTTTCTGACTGTATTTAACATTTTCCCAAACTGAGTAATTACAACGTTTTAAATGATGTTTATGCTTTTGGAAATGGATCTTTACTACCCCTTATTATTTTGCATTTCAGGCTAATTTTGACCACAAAGTATGTGCTTTCTGCAAGTGTAATTGTTTATTTTATTATTATTATTATTCATATCGGGGGTTGTGATGGTAGAAGTTGAATGAAGATGAATGTTTAATACTGTGTGCAAAAAAAATCCCGCCTTATCACACCTTATATAAAGTGCACTCAAACAGTATTACTTTGTTTTAACATGTATATAGTTAGTATGTGACTACCTTGAAACCAATAACGGTGTGTCTCTTTTGTTAATTGACAATAATAGCGCTCTGCTCTAGTCCAAGTTCTTCTTGGCTAAAGTAGCGGCGCGCGACTAGTAATCAGTATAGCTCACAGTGCCCTCTGTTGGTGAAAGTAATTGTTGCTTTGAACGTGCTATTACGTGTATTTACTATACATAAAATGCTAGATTTGAAATTAGTCAGCCATTTTTTTCCAAAAATACTAAATGTAATTTCCATTATTTTGTATATTTCCATTTCAATTAAGCCCAAAATATACTTTGTTTTGTTATGCGTACACTGGAGTATGTGTTCAGTGCTCAGTGTAAATTTCATCATCAACATAGTACTTGCATACTGTATGATGTGCACAAAGGGGACCAGATTTCAGAAATGAAAACAGGGGACATTTCCTAGTTCAGTGATCAAAATATCACTGAAATCTCACTTGTGATTATCTGCAAAATTAAAAAACGGGGGCAATATATTTGTGTATGTTTTTTAATTGTTTTGGTTTCCATATATTAATATCATAATTAGTCATTACAATGATGTTTCAGGATCAAACTTACCCTAGTTTATTAATAGGACTACAATTCTCCAAAAAAAATAAATAAATAAAAATCACATTATGAAAAATAGTAACTATTGCAAATAGTAAACGGATCAAAACAGGATAACAAAATTATGACTTTCCAAAAACACTAAAAATAAAAAAATAGAAATGAGAACATATGATAAATAAAACCGTATTTAACAAATATTTGTAACATTTTCTGACTGTATTTAACATTTTCCCAAACTGAGTAATTACAACGTTTTAAATGATGTTTATGCTTTTGGAAATGGATCTTTACTACCCCTTATTATTTTGCATTTCAGGCTAATTTTGACCACAAAGTATGTGCTTTCTGCAAGTGTAATTGTTTATTTTATTATTATTATTATTCATATCGGGGGTTGTGATGGTAGAAGTTGAATGAAGATGAATGTTTAATACTGTGTGCAAAAAAAATCCCGCCTTATCACACCTTATATAAAGTGCACTCAAACAGTATTACTTTGTTTTAACATGTATATAGTTAGTATGTGACTACCTTGAAACCAATAACGGTGTGTCTCTTTTGTTAATTGACAATAATAGCGCTCTGCTCTAGTCCAAGTTCTTCTTGGCTAAAGTAGCGGCGCGCGACTAGTAATCAGTATAGCTCACAGTGCCCTCTGTTGGTGAAAGTAATTGTTGCTTTGAACGTGCTGTAAAACCGGGACATTTCCGGGGACAGGACACCAAAAACTGGGACTGTCCCCAGAAAACGGGGACGTCTGGTCACCCTAATGTGCACAGCCAGATTTGTCTATACACGCATACTCCACGCTCAGCTCGCACAGGTCTTGAATTTCTAGCATTAATTAGTTTGTCCACAAGGTGGCAACACTGGTCCAGGCCGTTTTCACAGTTGAAACTACAGACACCTACGTCAATGAGTGCTCGTGTGAGGTTTAAAAGATACATGCAACTCTAGTTTAAACAAGTACAAAGACGTTTTTTTTAATCATATCTTCTGAAGAGAAATAGCACAGACACTGGACAAGGATGAAACTTTGTAGTGCACTTGTCGAGTGCCTGCGTTCGTGTACACTACCAAATTAAGCACAGATTGAAAGGGTATACCCTCACGTTCACATCAAAACTGAAATATACTTTGGACTATGCAATACATAATTTGAGATGTTGTAAAAATGACATTGGTGGGACTTCAAGAAAGACGCAATCCTAAAATCCATGGGCTTACCTGAGTAGGCTTTCCAAACCACTTCCACAGCTGTCTGGCATGAAGGAAAGCAGAGATCTTGGGCCTGTTCTCGACAGAGGGAAGCCTCTGTCTTTTTGCCAGCTCCTTAGTTGTTGGGAGGTGGATTCCCTCTCGTCTTTTGGGGCGACCGACACCCTGCTTCACCTTCTGCTGTCTCTGGGGCTTCTGCTGCTGTGTGCCAGATGCCTGCTGCTTCTGGAGCTTATGAATGTTGGCAGCAGGCCCCATTTTTGATTTGGCCTTCTCGTCTTCCTCCTCTTGAGGTGGTACATGTTCTGCGGCTGGGGATGGTTGAGAAACAGCAACCGGTTCTTCATCTGAGCTACAGGAGGATTCTTCATCGCTGGTGGTGGAGGATGATGATGATGATGAGGAGGAGTGAGAATCAGCTGAGGATGAGGAACTGCTTGTGGATGAGCTGGAAGAGGTGGGACTTGATGCCCGCGAGCTGCTGGAGCTGGTCGAGTCTTGTTTGGGCTTCTTTTCCTGCGAGGCTCCTCGCTCCTCTTCTCCGTCGGACTCCGAGCTGCTGCTGCTGCTACTGCAGTTGGGACACTCCAGTTCTTTCTTGTCCTTCTCCCCTGAGTTGCTCACCTTCATCAGACCCTCGCTGCCACTGCAAAGCTTACGAACACTGTAGGTGGACACGCTATCGGTAGTAGGCGGGTCTGCCTTAACTGCCTTGTTTTTAGCTTTCAGTGTTTTGTCAGCAGTGGATATCGTAGTGTAGCTGACACCCATGACAGACTTATTCTCTCTTTTGGTGAGGTTTTGGCCCTCCATCATCATGAGGGCTTTGGTCTTCTTGGTTTTGGGTGACATTACTCCCTCATGGTCCAGTTTGATAAGGATCTCAGTCTGAGGTTGCTTGCGTTGCGTCTTCACACCAAACCCAGATGCCTCCTCCTCAGGCTTTCTCAAGCGTTTGACCGGCTTTCCTTTCCCCGCAGGACTCGCAGTCTCATTGTTGGAAATAAAGGAGGCCAGAGAAGTGGAGGGCTCATTATAGAGATCCACAGACAGAACTTTTCCATAGAGCGGCGGCGAGTAGACAGACTGGGGCTGGGAACGGACTTTGGTTGGGGGCTTGATTCCTGTGGTTTTCTTCTGGCTTTCATTAGATACAGGGATGGAGGGGCTGGCTTTGCTGACTTGCTTAATTTTTCTACCTGGCCGTGGGCCGCTTTTCTGGTCGGACAGGGGCCTCTCGAGGACCTGCGTTGGGGTTGGTGTGTCAGGCTTTTCATGCTCCTTTGGAGCGACTTCAGGCTCTGGAAAGCAGCACAGGAGGGAAGGTTTTAATATGCCAGACCAAAAACACACTTACCTCTATAAAAATGCTGGGAGGCTTAAAGCAGTTCCTGTTCTGACAGCAAGCTCTTTTCAAGCAAAAGAAAGTGATTTACTATCTATGAAACCACCAACCCAGTCCACTTTTTGTAAAATCACTGCATTTCTAATTTCAGTAACACCAGTTTTGATGACTTAATATTTAATTTGAACCAAAGCAATAACCACTTTTATAAAAAATGTCTTCTATACCAGCCAAAATGTCAATGAGCGTAAATGTTTGGTTCAAAGGAGTGCAAATTACCAGGCTTGGGTTTGGGTTTTCTTCCTCTGCCCCTGCTTTTCGGAGTAGACTCCTCTGTGTTTTTGGGTGGTGTCTCTTTGCCATCAGGTACATCCTTACTGCACTTCCTTCCTCGCCTTTTAGTGCTGGCCACGAGGAGAGCAGGGGATGGTTCTGCACCTGTTCAGATAAATTCAGTTTAGAAAACATTAATAGACGCAATAAGGATATTTGTGATTGACAAAACTGACACATACAAAAATATTGGCACATTTCCATGTGCTTCTCTACTACTCATATATTTTGAAAATGTTCATACACAAACATTTTCACAGTCAAACACATATACACACATTAATATTTACTCAGTGCTCTTAAATATTACACACAAGCCTTCAAATCTCTCAGTCTCACTCTCAATCATATGCAACCCCCTAGCAACTAGTGGAAAAACATCTTTTACTGAATCCATCATCAAGCTTCAAGAGCAAAACCAAACAAAAATCAGTGGCCGCATGGACTCCAAATCAAACAGTGCACATATTGGCTGTTTACCTAACTTCAACATTCAGATAATGTTTCATGCACTCCTTCGTGCCTTCGCTTTTACTCCCTGCTTCGCTGAATACTCACACTGAATCTTGTAGTCCGCTGGCAGCAGCCTAATATGAGAGAGCGGGATTCGGCCAGTGTCTCCATCGTCAAACTCCACTGTAATCAAATCGTCCACGTCTTCCATGTCTGGGCTCCCTGTGGACACGTAACAGAGTTGAAGACTGATGCAAAAGAACATGCATCACCTCAATTTACATTTCCACTGAGTGAAACAGCAAACACTGCTGCGCGAAAAGAGCGACCGCATATTTCTCAGTGGTGCAGCAGCGGCTGCAGGGATTCATACAGGGCCTTTTCATTCTCATTGGCTGATGCCGGCAGTAGCAGCGACCTCCCTTTCAGAGTTTCTTGACAAGTCTCCAGCTCCCTCCTTCCTCAGCGGGAGGGAAAATAAATAATAATAGAGCAGAGCTCTGCATGTAGCTAACCACACCATTCTTCATTCCCCAGCTCAGTTTATCTGGCAGCGCTTATGGGCTTGGCTAAAAGATTTAGATTAAAGGAAATGAAACAACCCTGAAAGGTTCGCTTACTACGCTCCTGTGCAGAGGACAGTGGACATTTGTGCATATTTTTTCCATTTGAGAAACGTAGACGCAGTAAAACGCATTGGTTAATAGTCTGTAATAGCCAGTGAAAGGTGCTCAATTAAGCGGAACAGGAAAAACATACCTCTGACGACCGTGCCAGGGTAGAGGCAACGGTACTGCTGGCTCCAGTAGGCTGCAATCCGGGTCCCCTGGGGAAGGTATCTAATGGAGGGGGGTTTCACATCAATAATCTGTAGGACAAAGGCAGTGTGGATCAGAGAGGATTATTAAATCAACACCTGTGTGGCATTCAGACACTTTGCGGTCGTCTATCTTCTAAGCTGAATAACTAATGAATCAATTTCTGGTGAGGAAATGTACATTGTGTATATAATCCATCTAGAGAGGCAGTAATGACTAAGGTTGCTCTTGGCAGTGGTCCGCTTCCAACGGTACATTAGGAAGGAAAGGCGGTAGCCGCAAAAGCGTGTGTGCCTAAACCAACAGACAGAGGTACTGGAGCAAAACATGCCCTTAGCGTAATAGCAGGGGAAGGTGCTAAACAGCTTCTATATTACACCGTGCCCCAAGCCTGTTAGCAGAGAGAGGAAACCGAGGAGTGTGCCTGGAGTAAAACACACAGGCCTGTTGTGGTGAGCCGTAACGTGTATGTGGGTCAACGAACGATGCAGGACAGTGTGGCGTACTGACCGCCTCCTGTAGCAGCTGCTCCAGGCAGTAGATATGTGGCCTGTTCCCCCTCTCGCCCTCCACCACCACGCTGTATCTGTAAGACAGGACACAGTCATGAGCCCAAAACAAAAATCTAGGGAATGCACATCCTGTTTTCATGGAAATATTAAGAGCGATATAAAATTTGAAACCCATTTTACTTTCATATTGTGACTCATTTCAGAACGCATCAGGATATTTAATAGTAACAAACAAAAATGTAGGCCAGGACTTTATTTTATCCATTAGGAATTTATCCATTAGGTGAAAAGTAATTGTTCCACACAGCCGCTATCATTATTATATGAAACATTATCTGGCAATAAATGAATTACTGCAAATTCAGGCAAGTAGTGACAGATCTTTTCTTTTGTATTGTGATGTACATCAGAGTGCAACGAAATGATCAAAATAAATAATAAATAAATAAAAATAATGTAGGGTAGGGACTTATATTCTATTGGATTCTATGCATTGTTTGTTGATTAGATGGAGGCAGATCTGAATGCGAGCTTGCAGTAAATTGTAAGAAAGGGGGCGGGTTTTAACAGACTAAATGTTAAAAGTCCTGCATACGTCAACAGAGAGAAGTATGTTATTCGCAATCAATTGCATCTAATCATAGATCAATAACTTGCATTTTAAAATAGATGAAGGTGATAGGTGAAGTTTCATTTAATGCATACATTAAATATCATGAAGTTTGTACAAAGGCTGCTTTAACCACAACAATAGACAAAAACAATGGCTGTTGCGCTATACGGCTATTGGTTAACGAACTAATAGCCTGCACATCCTAGCTGATGGCAGTAAAAAGTGAAAGTTGAGTAAGTTAATTCAATTCAATGTGATGAAAGATGAAGACGACCATTGTTTTTATTTTTTTGAATAATATGCACACGTGTAGTAATAAAGTGAATGGGGTCACTTTTGTCATGTCGGATAGGTGAGAACACACATGAAACTGTTGAAGGAAGCTGTCTGCACTCTGCACTCAGTGCATAATGGTTTTGTCTAAAAATATAATGTAGAAGGCTGTAGAGAGGAGATGCAGAGGGGCTAAACCAAAAGACTCAGCAGCCCAAGAGCTTGAAGACAGGGCTCTTTTGAGAAACACACTGAGCTTTGAACCGGTCTTTATTCATAATACCCAAAGGAGCTTGGCTTTCTCTCCAACCACCCTCCCTTCCTTATTCAAGCTCAACCTTAGAGATACAATTTGGAGGGGCTTGCCCCCCCTTTTTTTGGAATTCCTTGCCCGATAAATTTGCAGCGGTTTTATTGTCTTTACTGTTAAGAAGTCAGAGCAGTGGGGATATGTAAGATAAGTCAGTTTCTTGACATCGCACATGAGAGCCAAAATGGGCTCTGACGGAAATGGAAAAAAGGAATAAAAAGAGGCAAACCAGGCTAAGTTAGTGTGTAGGCGGACCACAATCCAAACATAGGTTTGTCTCTCCAGATTTGGAATATTATTGGAATATTATTTCTGGAAGTTGGCCGTTTTCACCTTTGTAAAATCTGCAACACCCACTTCCAGCTAAATTAGTTTCCACTGCCAAAGTGAACCAAAAAGCAAATACATCAATACTGTTAAATAAAAAGGAAGCTTTTGGACTTTTATTGGTTGTCTGAGAAAGAGAGAAACAACAGTGACCGGTTCTTTAAAGTGCAGGTCTCTCTCCATTATTGGATGCAAGCACATGGGCTTTATAAATCAGAATGGGCGCATACATGACGTCCAAGATGGGGCTTCTGGTTAAAAAAAAAAAAGGCGGCAGTTGGATGTTTGGCCTTTTTTCATTTGGATTCATGAAGGTGCCTGCAGTTCAAGCATGGACCCAGAGCCAGGCTTCAGAGGTGTCCATCACCGAGTGGCAGCCTTATTACTGTGACATGGACCTGGGAGGTGATGTGGGACAGTGTCCTCCAGATCACTGCCTCCTGGATCTGGCCTGAGGGGGAGGAATCTGCTGGCCAAACCTGATTGGTTCTGTCTGCAAAGCCTGGGATAAATTCACACCAGCTGCATCAGGGAGGGGAGAAAGATTGACCGGACAAGCAGGGTTAAATATCTGTCAAGTCGGTGGATGGCTAGCCTGATGTGGGCTTAGGACATGGGAAGGGTCGTTGTAAATTTGTTTTTGTTTGTTAAGAGGAAGGGAAGGTATTTGGTACTAAAGGTCTTTATAGATTAATTTGTAATGAAATGTCCTTTGGGAAATAACTGATTCTGATTGGTCAATTACAGCATTCTGCTTTAAAACATTTTTGTGTAACGGCCACAAAAATGTATAATATTCTCAAGAAGCTGATTTTCCTAAATAGCAATTGTCTATGATCATTCCACAGTCTCTTTGTTCTCACATAATAAAAATAATTTTAGCTCAGATCAAGTTTTCACATCCATTGTTTTATTTATTTGGTGTCGAATATCTTGAAACTGTACTTGATGATTCACACACACATACTAAAACATCACTTCATATAAATAAACACTTCAGCAGAACAGCATAAAAAAAAGCAGGTTTAAAAAAAAAAAAGACTATTTACATGTCAATGGAGAAAACGGCTCAAAAGAAAGTAGTTATGTGTAGAAACATAAAATGCAATTTGCCATATTAGATTTCTCTCTGAGATGACATGACATTCAGAAATCTTTGATTATTGTCAGAACGGCAAAGATGGGGAATTTTAGCGGTGAAAAATCTAATTTTTCTCTCTCTCTTTACATAGAACCACAACTCTAAAACTAAAGATACAACAGAGAAAAAAAAGGATGGAGTGAAAGCTTCAATTAGTTTGCCATTACCCATAAATAATGGGCCTGTCCCATTAGCATGGTCTTCATTCACATCTGAAAGTGTGACAATGACTTTGCCAAAGGACTTTTCTGAGCAGAACACAAAGGCTTCATGAAAGCCGAGGCTCAGGCTGAGAACAGACACTTTTCCTTACCCTAGATTTCAGTTCCAATTCGACACCGGCTGTGTGAGTTATTGACTGCACAATTAACCAGTCCGCTCTCATGTACAGCAAGTATGTTCATGCCTGCAGAAGCCCAGGCTCTCTACAACAGGCTCTGTTAATGAAGACAGGTGAGGCATATAAACAGCATCGGCAGCGACAGTGGCGGCATATAAACATCTGAGTGCCCAAGCACGGATTTTCAATCTCTGGATGCGTTTAATGTGTGTTGTGTAGCACAAGCCATCACAGAATTTAATTTCCAGAGGGCAGGGTGGACAACAACCGATATGTTGCAGTCAAGTTCTCCGCACTAGAGCCTGTTCTCATCATATTAAATTCTCACCATCACACAAACTACCCGCTTTGAAGAGCCGTGGTAACACAGTCCTGCACAAAGGCACCTTCCCTTTCCTTGGCTGGAACTGCTATTTTTAGTACAAGAGACACATGCAGAGTGAGCGATAGAGGGGAGAGTTATTTCACTGCCAAAATATGACAAAGATATCTCATTATGCCACGCGAATGTGCTGCAAATGAACAGATAAACCACCACCTATCTCCTCCCTTAATTTAGGAATACACGTTTACGAACTAGCATCCAGGTTTTCAGCACGTTGCCTGACCTCTTGCTCGCAGACCACTGGAATTTAGGAGAAGGGATTGTGATGGGCGTCTGAGTGAATGATGGCGGCTCCTCGCTTTCGGACTGATAAGAGGAAGATGTGTTTCTGTGCTGCATGCTAAACACAGTTATTGAGCAACTGTGGACCGTTGCTCTAATGAAACTAAAATGGAGGACAAGACATTTCACAGAGAGCAGAAACACAGAGCCACTCTCATTAAAGATTCCCCGACCAGATGCTGCACCAGTTTGACATTTCTCACCAAATGAGATTATCCTTTATAGGGATGACTTTGAGAGGAACTCTCTCATCCCCAATAGACTAAAACTTGCTCATCCAAGTGGATAATAGGCCGTGGGAGACTACAGAAAGCATACAAAGTCCAAACAGAACAAAACTGCCCATTTCTGTCATTGCCTCCCTCAAGACACTTCACACCCCTTCTGTTTCCTGACCAAACAAAACGTTGCACTTCCAAAATTTTCCATGGAGAACTCTGAACTGGACCTTACAATAGGAAAAACTTGGCAATATTTCACTCCCTTTAACACTAAGTGGCTCAAGTAAGCGGTTTGTTAAAACAACTAAATAGGGCACACGAACGAATGCCAACTTTTTTAGTGGCCTTGGTTCTAAGCCTTGAACCAAACCAACCGGCTCTGAGGTAAAACAAAACATTACAACACTTCATTCAGAGGAAAACTAGACTAAACTTTCTCCTCACATAAAGTACTGAGAATTATGCAATCAAAGGAACGAATTTTGTATCACTGTAATGCAGGGTTTTCAAAGTCTAAGACAGTGGGCCCCCCTTTTGACACAACTTACCCAATGCCCCCCCCCCCCATGTTTTTCACGTACCGCACATATGTTAACAGCTGGCCACATCGGTGGATTCGTCGATCTGGAGTGCAAAAAATGGGCTGTGTCTGACTTGCTCCACATCCTGTGCCATGTCTGAGATGCGCCGACTTATTGTGTTGTCAGAGAGTGGAACAGAATCGATCTTAGAAGCTGCTGCCTCTCCTAGCATCACGGAACACAGGTCTTTTGCTGCCGGTAAAATTAACGTCTCTCAAGTGGTATGTGCTTTGCTTTGCCTGCCTTGGCAATACGCAATGCAACGCAATATGAAGCTTCAGTGGCCTTTCCATTTAATTTGACAAAATCTTCCACAATTTTTTTCTGACCTTGAAAGGTTTGAAGTTTTCCTGCTACCTCAACTTGCTTGGTTTCAAGGTGTCGCCGAAGTTTTGCGGGTCTCATGCTGTCATTAGCCAAAATTTCTTGACAAACCACACATAAAGGTCGTGGTTCATCAGCTGGTCCTGTCCACGTAAATCCTAAACTCAAATACTGATCATCATATCGTCATCTTTTGGGTTTAAGCCCTGAAGTTGAAGGCTTTGAATCGGGAGGTCTCAGAAACTGCTCCATAGGCATATTCACAGCTACGGCCTTT